TTGTTTTTACTGTTTTATAAAGCTTTCCATATATTGCATGTGTATTGTTGCTTTATATTTAGTTGAGTACCCAGAGTCGAATATCATATCTCTGAGTCGAGTATCTTTTCCTTGAGTAAGTTTGAGTATCATTGAGTATTCCTTGAGTTGAGTAAGTTTGAGAAGAGGTAAGTATGTTTCCTTTTTATCAAGTTCAAGCTTATGTTATGTTTTAGAATTCCCCTTACATGCTCGTACATTCCACGTAATGAGCCCATTTGACCTTCATTTTCTCATGATGCAGACACAGGTATTCAGGATCATCAACGTGAGCTTCGTTGATACATCCGAGAGTTTGAGTTAGCTATGGTGAGCCTCCTTGCTTCCGGAGGATTTCACTTACCTTTCAGTTATATCAGTTGTTAGGATGTCTGGGTCTTGTCCCGACTTCAATCTTTATTAGTTAGAGGCTTCATAGATAGTCAGTATAGTTGAGAAGTCTGTATCATTTATTTTATTAAATGTTTTAAACACTAAAGTTGCCTTTTTTGGCGAGTTGTATATATTTTATTATATAGAGTTTTCTTTGTATTTAAGTTTTATGAACTCTTATTTCAGTTTTTAAGCTTTGTATGCTTGAATCAGTTTTCCGCTTGTAGTCAGCCAAGATGAGGGTTCGCTTGGGGGACCAGCAATGGTTCTTGAGTGTCGGCCACGTCCAGGGTGTAGACTCGGGTCGTGACAAGTAAAATCAATGGAGGAACAGAATTGTACCCGCACTACTTTTATCAATAAAGTTATGTTTCTTCTTATTTTATTGTGATTGCGATTTATTTTCTGTCGCTTTAAAATTTGTTGCAAACAAATTGGCACGCCCAGTGGGATCAAATCTGCCCTTCATCTCTTCTCCATTAAATCAAATCAGAAAATCTGAAGCTGCAGAGGTGTAAGAATGAGTACTTCAAGCCTCGTCTTTGAGTTTCATCAAGTCTACACTCCGGCAAGCCTTGAAGCAGAGGGCATTTATCAACATTGAAATTTTGTGGACTCTACAAGATGTGTTCAATTCTGGGACTCTAGAAGGTGTGTTTAGTTTCAATTTGAATTCTTGGATGCTACTCAACCCTAAACCCTAGTTTATGCCTATATAAATTGTACTAAATTCTCTTAAAAGACGTCTCGAATATTCAACCAAAGTCATGGAATATTCATATAGAGGTCAAATCTAAATCATCTTAGTTTGAGAAATACGCCACTAACGGCCCTAGAATCACGGATAAATCTTAAGAGAGTAGAAAAAAGGGAGGAAAACAATTGTACCCACACTATGTTTATCAATAAAGTTATGTTTCTTCTTATTTTAATTTATTGTGATTGCATTTTATTTTCTGCCACTTTAAAATTTGTTGCAAACAAATTGGCGACCACATCTGCCCTTCATCTCTTCTCTCTTAAATTAAATCTGAAAAATCTGAAGCTACAAATGTGTAAGAATGAGTACTTCAAGCCTCGTTTTTGAGTTTCATCAAGTCTGCACTCCAACAAGCCTTGAAGCAGGGGACATTTGTAGACATTGAAATTTTTGTGGACTCTACAAGACGTGTTCAATTTTGGGACTCTGGAAGGTGTGTTCAGTTTCAATTTGAATTCTTGGAGGCTACTCAACCCTAAATCCTAGTTTATGCCTATATAAATTGTACTAAATTCTCTTAAAAGACATCTCAAATATTCCACCAAAGTCATGGAATATTCATATAGAGGTCAAATTTTAAATTATCCTAGTTCGACAAATACGCCACTAACGGCCCTCGAATCATGGATAAATCTTAAGAGAGTAGAATCAAGGAAGGAACAGAATTGTACCCGCACTATTTTTATCAATAAAGTTATGTTTCTTCTTATATTATTGTGATTATAATTTCTTTTCTGTCACTTTAAAATTTGTTGCAAACAAATTGGCACACCCAGTGGGACCAAATATGCCATTTATCTCTTCTCTCTTAAATCAAATCTGAAGATGCAAAGGTGTAAGAATGAGTACTTCAAGCCTCGTCTTTGAGTTTCATCAAGTCTACACTCCGACAAGCCTTGAAGTAGGGGGCATTTATCGACATTTAAATTTTGTGGACTCGACAAGACGTGTTCAATTCTGAGACTCTAGAAGGTGTGTTCAGTTTCAATTTGAATTCTTGGAGGCTACTCAACCCTAAACCCTAGTTTATGCCTATATAAAATGGTACTAAAATTCTCTTAAAAAGACTTCTCGAATATTCCACCAAAGTCATGGAATATTCATATAGAAGTCAAATCTAAATCATCCTAGTTCGAGAAATACGTCACTAACGGCCCTCGAATCATGGATAAATCTTAAGAGAGTAGAGTCAAGGGAGGAACAGAATTGTACCCGCACTATTTTTATCAATAAAGTTATGTTTCTTCTTATTTTATTGTGATTGCAATTTATTTTCTGTCATTTTAAAATTTGTTGCAAACAATTTGATCTGACCCGTATATATCTGATTTGCCCCATTTATATCTGACCCGTCCCAACCCTCAATACTATAATGTGCTTACTTATCTCTTTGAACCCCCTTGATGGAAATCTTATCTCCGACAGTGTATTAGAAGTAATTGACACTCTTTGTAATGTCAGTAAAGGTTTTGACGCTCTCTTTATTAATATATATATTTATTGCCTCTAAGAGCTATTTTTTATTATAATATCGATGAATTTTATTAAATTCAAATTACCATTATTCATCTGCTTAAAGAAAATTATATAGATCAAATAATTTACTATCCTATAAGCTCTCTTAGGTGCAACTTTTGCAGCATGTTAAAATTCAATTTTGCAAATTTCAAAAGCAAAATGTATTGTTAAAAAAAAGAGTTTTAGTTATATGGTCAAATTTTATATATAATGAGGTCACTTGTTTAATCAGCCATTTATAAGACTATTTTATTCTTTAACATTGAACACATGCAGAATGGATGCATCTAGTTTCTTATTTGTTGACTTTTCTTTGTAATTGTCGTTTGGTTTGATTGTATCCTAATTCGTATTAATGAATCTAATATTTACAATAACGATGGGGATTTTAGTAAACTTAATAATTATTATTACAGTACAATACATGAATCCAACTAAATAAATTAAAAGTTATATAACTGTAACAAAGATACAATTTAGTCAAACTTTATTACGACAATAATACAATACATTATAAAGTGATGATAATTAACAATCATCCAAACAAGCTGGAAATGAAATAAAACAGGATTTAATACAACTTAAGTGTTGTATATTTTTTGAAAATGAACATGACAAAAAAAAAGACAAACCAACCACACTTTTGCTTAGTAAATTAAAAACAACTCTTGTTTATTTCAAACATTCCCAGGAATTAACAGCTCATATATTATGAATGGCATGTTAAACGTCTTCCATTTATTGTATATGCCTTATTTTGCTCTGAATATTTGAATGATGAAGGTGCAATTTCATCATTATATTTATATTTTGACAGATTCAGTCAATATCAAGTCAATCATGTTTTTAAGTTTGCCTTTGGCGTTTGTGTATCCATCTTCCTCTTTATATAATGTGTCCATCACACATGCGAAATTTAGAACTCGTTCAAGGACAAACATTGGTACTTCAGTTGGATGGAAAATTCTTTGTTTATGTCCTTCCATGCATTGGTGACCTCTTTCTGGAATTTAATGTAAGCCTCTTGCTTTGAAGCTCCATATTCTTTCATGTAACATTCAATATATAATTGAAGCTACATGTCCTCTTTCTTTTTCAACCTACATGAAATTAATAATTCTAATATCTTCCGTATATATAATTAATACATTTTAAACATTATTTATGGTATTATATTGTGGGCTTCTTAACTAACTTTTAAGAATTTGAAGTAATTAAATCCAACACATACAATATATATGCGTTTCTTTTGTATCATATGCAGATATATTTGAAGCAAATCCAAACTATTCAACATAATATATTCTTCAAGCAACTAGGACTATTTCTTTTCTTTCTTTCTCTTTTAATTATTGTTATAAAATATAGAAACTTTTGTAATATTTTGAACTATATTGTCGTGACTTACGATATTTTTTAAAAATATAATTTTTAAATATATAAATTTTATCTAAAAAAACTTAACGATTCTCTAATAAAATTCACAAAGGAGAGTAATTAGTTTGGCCCTCACACAAAGTGAAACATAAGAAGTACTATTGTTTTTTTATAAGTCAAAGCACTATTAGGTTTCGTTTATTTACATTTAATGAAAGTTTGAATCTTAATTACTGTTTCAGATCTCACTAATAATTTATGTCTATACTTATTGTTGTACTTACTTCATGTCCAACAATATCGTCCATTGCTCTGATAATCAATGAAGCAGCTCTAACTATCAAAGGCTCATTCATTAACCATTCAAAAGTGTCTTTGGATATAAATTCCTCCACACTGACCAAGCAATTTGTTGCTCCCATCATATAGCCACAACTTACAAGTGAATTCTCCGTGTGCTCCTCATATTTTGGAATATAGTTAGCGTCGTTCAACCATTGGGCTTCCGTAAAATATGCTCTCACCAACTTTTTCATCTAAAAATAATAACGAGTAATTTAAGCTAGACAATTAGTACTAGCTAGTATATTATTTTTTTAATCTTTTGGAATGATAACGTTTCCTTAATTGAAATATTTATGTGGGTTAGGTAAACAATAATATTATCTCATATTTTGCATAGTATAGACGGTCCAATTTACATTCTTTTGACAACACTTGTTCCATTTCACTGTAAATGTCTAGAAGGGCTTGATAAATAGATCTCATATATGGCGGTATTGAATCGATTGCATTAGCATCTCATCTAATATTTCATCAAAACCACAAGCTAATTAACTCTTACACCTTTTAATATATATATAAATATATATTTCATAATAACATTAGGAAATCATATTTACTTTCTCATATACTTGTGATATTTTTTTATGTTTTACCTCTCGATTGCATCAGTGAAAGTCACAAGTTCGTCAAAGGTTGCATAGGCATCAAAAGTGTCATCAATAATTGAGATCAGCTTGAATACTTTTGTCAGCATTTTTCTAGCACGACTATACTTTGGCTCAAAATACACTCCTAATATCCAAAAGTAACACTCAACCAATCTGTCTCTTGCATATGGATATTTGTTTGCAAAATCCAAATCTTTCCACCACCTACATACATCACAAGAACAACGATATTGTTGCATGCATTTCATTTTTATTCCAAATTATCATTATTCACCTAATTAAAGAAGATATATAGACCAAATAATGTACTACCTTGTAAGCTCACTAAGCTCTCTTTGGTGGAACTTTTGCAGCATGTTAAAATCCAATTTAGCAAATTTCAAAAGCAAATGGTTGTGTGCATCATTATTTTCATAAATGGATATGTATTTTCTTGCTCCCATCCTTGGTAAAGTTATGCGAATAGGTTGACTTAAGGCTTCAGTTACTTAAACCTTATCTTGTTCAGTGAATTGCTTGAACACATCTGGTTAAACATCATGTTCGTTATTAGTTATAAGAAATTTAACCTTATTAAAAGTACTTGCAGGACTCAATCAAGGCCCACAAGTCGAAAACGAAGAGAAACAATGAAGGATGGAGTGCAATTACCAGATTTCCACTAACATTTTCCTGATTGTTTCTTGGTACTCATCAACTTCAACTTTTTCTTGGTTAGTAATTTCCTGCATCCGAAAAATACTCATCATATGTTAATTAATCAAATATTATGTTACGTCTTAAAACAATTAACATAGAAAAAAATGAATTAAAGAAATATGTGTGACTGACAGGAGTATAAGAAAGGAAATGATATCCCCAAACAGTTGGGTCAAAATTTACCAAGGGGCGACATTTATTAGGAGAAGAAGCAACCATTGCTCGTTCAAAAGTATTTTATTCTCTTGCTTTTTTTTCAAGATTAATTTGTGGGTTTAAGTTATGCTAATAGGATGACCTATTTATAATGTACCTTAGTCCATTGAATTGAATTTTTAGGATTCAATTATTTGTTATAGGTTGCTTAAGTCTACATTATAAGTCAAGGCTTATTAATTAGAATTAGTTGTTAGAAAATAGCATGCACAACAAAAGAATTTCAGAATCATACATCATACATGAATATAGACAACAACCACAAATATATATCACTTACAAAGCATTCTTAAAATTAACTCAAGGATTACCTCTTGAAGTGTGTGCAGATATCTTGAGGCAAATCAAACTCTAGCTATACGGTCGTCTACAGTGATCCCAAACTAACAATTGAACTTGCTCAATACTTGGATGGACAATTATCGTATAGAAAAATGAATGTCTTTCTAGAATAGAAGAATCCCTACTTATAGAGATTTCTTCCCAGTCCAAAAAGGGAACTCTCTCAATTCCTTTTTTTTCAAGAAGAGAAACCCACGTTTCTTTTCTCTCTTGAAAAAAATTGCACACTACTTTTCCTTCTTCTACTAGAAAATAGAATTCTGAGTTCTACTTAAATATGGACACCGTAGGGATCACATAATTCGATTAAATGAGACTTCCTATTATGGAAATAATTTCAAATAATTAATTTGAATTATTCTTACCATAATAAATTACAAATCATTCCACTAGAAATTCGTAATTGCACTCCTCTATTTATATTTCAAAATTTTCCATTACACACTTATGTAATTCCCCACGTTAAGATTACAGATACTAATCAATAAATTAAATTACTGACGAATTTAATTCAAAGATTAATTTCCTTTAGAGCAATACTTAACTTATTTCATGTGCCAGATTCATAAATCTTCCGGTCGGGTTTACACATGAAAACTTATAAGCTTCTCATAAATAGGTGCATCATCAATCTCTATATTGAGACATTGATTCCATCAACTAACTAATTATTTCACCAATATATATTATTATCATCCAAACTACCAGACATATTGATCCATCTCAGAATCTCACCATTTAATAAATCAAAATGATAATTAATATATACAGATCATAATCGTTATATCAAGATTAAGAATATAAGTACATTTAACAGTTTAGAGAATATGTTTTTATCAGTCAGTCTAAAATATCTATCTCTGCTTGGTCCCGTTCAATACATACAAAATGCACTAGCACAAGAAGTTGGAACTATACCGTTCCCATAATCAAGATAA